GAGATGACAATGATTAAGTGTAGTCATGTCCGAGTAAGACGTGTATGATAAGTTTCTAATATTAAAAGTCAAACTCACATTAAGGGAAAATGGTGAATTTTAACCCGAACAAATTGTAAAATGCGTTTTATACCTCAACAAAGATATAATGCATTATTCAACCTCAACGCTAAAATAATTTAAATAATTTATCTAGATTATTAAACTTGAGCGTAAAACTACATTGACTTAAACAAAATACGTCAAACTATTTGTCTACACTCACTTAGACGACACGATGGTGATGAGAAGTAACGTCGTTTTGGTCATTTGAGTTCATAAACTTAACACGGTGACAATAAATGACATTTTATCTTTTCTAATCACCTCTTTGAACCGAGTTCGAATACCCGAGATTGCCAGTTTTGTTTTTTTTTCTCATGCGGTTCTCAACAGATCTCCAATCACCTAACCTCCTTCTCCTCCATTCCCCGACAGTGGCGGCGCACAATCATCTCCACCTCCAGGCTCCAACACCTCCTTCTTCCCCTCCACCTTCTGTAACTCCACCTCCTCCGCCTAAAGTTGACTTGGGAAACTTAGATGAAGAAGAGGAGGCAGAGATTCAGTGGTTAGCAGCCAACAGAGACAAGTTAGAGCAGCAAGTGAGCTGTTTCTAGAAGAATATCAAAGGAAAATTGAAATTTTCAGTGTGGTTAAGTCCAAGAGTGCTTTTAGACTAAGATCATTTCAAGTTTAAAGCTGCAGCAATAGAGGAGTTGACATCTCAGAGAACCTACATGAAGTGTGTCTCGGCTTTAAAGGCTGAAAAGAACATCATGAACAACATGATAAGAATCAGACATGCAAATTCGTGTCCTGCAGGTGTTATATGAAGCTTCATGGGTAGTCAACAGGAAGAATCTGAGCTGGCAGTGAGTTGGACACAAAGGAATTGCAGAAAAATTCTGCAGGTCTGTTTAAACAGTAAAGAGAAAAACAGTCCTAAGGTGAGAAGTGACTGTAAATCTGTTTATGAAATTGATCAAGACAAAAGGAGGTCAGTTCTTCTGTTTGAATTCACATCAGGTGACATCATAAGTCAGTAGAGAATAGAGGTTCAAGAGGTTGTTGGCTTCAGTTTTGCAGAAGGAACAAAAGTAGTAATCATGATGAGAAAGCTGTTTGCACAAGTTGGTTTTCAACAAGCCATTGTTGAAGTTTATTGTGGTTCTAAGAGTGAGACTACTCTGGTCAAGATCAAAATATGGCTAAGGGGATTAAAGGGGTTTGATACCATAAGGCAATTCATAGGAGAAATGATTGCAGAGTTGGTAATCAAGGTTGTTAAGAGTGAAAAACCTTTTCAAGCTGGGAATTTCACTAAAGTGACAACAAGAAGAATGCTTCAAGCAGATATGGAGCTTCTCAAAGTATCACAAGCCTGAGAAGATCTCAGGGTCCGAGATGGAAATCAAGGAAACTAGAAAGGTGAAGAAAGAAGAGTCTTGACACTAAGGCAAGGTGGAGTTTTGTGAGGTTTTGCCTAAGTGTCTAAGAGTATCTAACCCAAGAAGAAGGTTTCAGCAAAAGGAACAAAGGAGCTCACGTGACGTCTATGCAATTCAACGGAGGACAGAGGAGTAATTAACTTATGTCTAAACTCAATCTCATTTGTCTGAAAATGGGGTCTTTGATGTAGTTCTATTGTCTGAAGGACACAACTAGTCGGATGTAAGTTGATCTTTACGATCAAACTCGACTGTAATGACAATAACGGAATAATAAACAGTGCGTATTCTTTTATATATTTTTGGTATTTTTATTTTTACAGTCTTAACAGCCCCTTAATTTTCTCTAACTCCCTTTCCTTGTATTTTTTCTAAAGCCCCACAAACGTGACTTTCATTCTAGGCTGTATGATCATTTTTATTTATTTTCTGGTAAATCTTTTTCTTTTGAAAATATATATTGCATATAATTTTGTGAAAAATCAAAATGGAATATACAATATACAATATTATTATTTCGTTAAAAAAATAATTGAATAAAATATTCTTACAATTATAAAGTTGTTAATTAAAATCTTAGAAATATCAAATTATAACAAAAAATATATATGAATAATGAAGAAAGTGGAACAAAATAACAGTATTAAAATTAAATTTAATTTAATATTTCAAAATTATCCGTAATTGTTTAGATTCATTTTAAGAAAATATAATATTAATAAAATTGACATGTATCTATTAGTTTAAAAACATTCAAAAAATATATGATTTACTATTAATAGTGAAAATAATATAAAACAATAAATGTCAATAAAGAAAATTCTACACAAAACAAATTAGCACATAATAGTGGATCACTAATCATTCAAAAAGTAGAGAAAATCAGAAATTTTAAAGCATATTAATACAAAAAAATATTCCAACAAACTTAAAATTAAAATTAAAACAACAAACTATTTTTAAAATATCACCAACATTATAAATACAATGACCAATGGAGTTTTAACTTGCAAATCCAACAAGTACTATGATTTCCAAGTTTTTGCTAGTTTATCCCACTTCTTACTTATGCTTTTGGGTACTAAATTTCCCATGAAATAATAAATATAAATAATTTATTTCTTTCAAATATTCATCTATTAGTTTATTTCCAAACTTTTGTGATTTTTTACTAATAAATCTTTTTGTTATGATACTAAAATAACAGTCACAACTTTTACAACCACATCTTCTACAGTAGTATTTACCAATTAGATTTTTAAAAATATTTTAAAGTTACAGCCACAGTTTTTACAGTCAAATTCTCTGCAGCCAAAAGTTTACAGTAAAAGTCTATACCAAAAGTCCTTACCAATCGGCCACATAGTTGTGTTATGTTAATATAAGTCATATATGACGTATTATTAACAATATATTCTTATCACTAAATTATTTTTCAAGCTGTATTTCGATTTATTTTTGGTTAAGTTTTAAACACGAACAAAACTTAAATTAAATTATGGATTATAAAGCTTCTATATAACCAGTTCGTATTTTAACCATTAGATTAAATATATTGTTTGTTACATGTGACTTTTTTTCAAAATTTAAATTCATGAATCATACGACTGAAATTCGACATAATATTTGTGTATATGATTTCAAAAAAAAATCACTTAATTTATAGAGTAAATTTGGAAAAATACCCTCCTTTTGTTTACACTTTTGAAAAATACCCTCTCTTTGTTTTTCTTTTAAAAACAATTTTTAAATATATAAAATTACTAAAAATATCTTATTGAAACTTAATAATAATTAACCAAAAGGATCTATATTTTTAATATGAAATCAATTAATTAGTAATAACTAAATATCTAAACAAAGTTGTCCGTTGACCAAATCATGTTCGTCTTTCACCATGGATGTTGTTTTGTAACTTTGAATATTATATAACTAATAGTTCCAAAGATTCATTAACCTAAATATTTTTTCAGAACAATAATGAATAATAGCATTCTACCAATGTTAAGTCATGATTTTTTGTTAAGCCATATGGTGCAGATTTTAATGATTCATTATTCTTGAAAACACATAAAATATTTTACTTTGCAAAAAAAAAATCAAAGAGAATCGTTTAATTGAAGCAAACTTTGGTAAGATGTTTAGTTAAATAATATGTTTGCTACGTTGGAGATTTTTTTCTTTATATAATATGATAGATATTAAGCGATAGGCTTTATAATATTTTTAAATTTAATCTTGTTAAAATTTAATCTATAAAATAAATAAACTACTTTTGTGTTAAATATATATATAACTATGATTAATATTATTTCGAATTTAGTATATATTTTTCTCTAAATTTCGAATTTTATTTATTTATTAAAAATATAGCTTTAAATTTAAATTTAAAAAATTGTTATTTTATATATAATTGTAGTTTTTATTAAAAAAAATAGAAAAAGGTTATATTTCAAAATATAATTTAAAAACAGGGTAATTTTCAAAATCACCCTTTATAGATATTAAAAATATTTATTGATAAACTTTATGGGTCTTAATATAGGCTTTTATATATTTTTTTTTGTCTAAAACTGAGAACTGAATCGAAATCAAACCGAACTGAATACCGAATTTGATGCACCAAATCATACCGTCTAGCTCTACAGCCAAGTTTCGGCCAAAGGAAACAGTTCTCTTTTATCGGTTGGTTCCTACAGCCAAGTTCCAACGATAAAAGCCGAGGTCATCCCGGACCTTTTACGACCATGATGGTTTTGTGTTTATTAGCTTTTGTTCTGGTTTCGATTATGGCCTTATGGGAGTAATTGGTATTCATTTTTAAAATATAGGTTTTCGATCTTTACACTTGAAAAATATATGTAAATAATTTTACTTAAAATAATAGACTGTGACGTAAGAAAAATATTAAAATCATGAATTTTTGGTTTTAAAAAAAAAACTAACGTAACATGGACAAAAGATTGAGAAAATTTAAGAGAACTTCTAAGACTTTTACATCAAAAGAAAATGTGATTGGTAAAAATCGACTTTAAAAACTTTAAAATTAAGTAAGAATCTTGAAAGTGTCAAACAATCACCTCATATGGCTATGAGCTAATTTGAGTTCTTGTAAAATACATGGAAATGTGGAGCTTCCACTGTGGAAAAAAGTTTGCTAAGATGCTGCTCACAATTTGAAGATTCAGATCATGCGACACACTATGTTATCCCACACTTACATAGTTACATTTCCTCCAGGAAAGGGTAAGAAACCACTTTAATAAGCCTAGAGGAGAATGGATAAGATTCATCCTCGAAGTGGACATTGAGATCCATAATAATGAAGGAATTGTTAGAGATCGAAAATCAATGATCCATAGAAAAAATGAAGTTTGTTGATCGATTGACATGAGAGTTATCGCCGCCCTTAACGGATCTCTACCTAGGAAAAATGTAGTCATTTTTTTTTTTCCTCTTTTGAGGGATAGGAAAAATGTAGTCATTGATGGGTATTTTGGCTCATTACTGTCTCAAATCAGTGCTATTATGTCTGAATTTTCTTATAAATGTTTGAGTTAAGAACGCAATTTAAACACCAAAAACACTGTTATATCAAATTGAAGAAAATAGAGTTAAAAAAACTACTCCCAAAGAAAATAACTTTTCTTCCCTCGACTAAAAGTCTAATAAAACCAATAAATTCACTACTAAAATCACGATTTGTAGTACACGCAATAGATTTGATGAACATGGCACCATTGTTCAAAAGCAAACCAATCGTGCATAGGAGGAATGTCGTTCCAAAGACCTCCCAATTAAAATCTGCAAAATGAACACAGACACTTTAGTTGAAGATTTTGATAACTAAACAAATAATATCTGAGAAAAAGATTTTGCAATGATAGAACTTCACCTCAATGAAGCAGCTTGAGGTATTCAACAATCTTTCTGATGTCTTCAACAGTGACCTCCATCTCTTCAGCAACTTCTTCCTGATCATCTATGTCTAGAATCTGAAAAGATTCTATGAAATCTCCATCTAGGAACTCCGTCGATTCACTAAGGCTTTGTAACTCAACACACATTCGTGGAAAGTCCTCATTGGGGCATCCTATTCCCCTTATCTGTTCTCTCATGTACTGCTCTAGCTTATGTAAGAACTCGTAGATTACTGGTGGAAGTGACACTATCATGCCAACTGCTCCACTCACGGTAGAAAACATGACAGACGGTACAATTGCAGAATCCTCATCTGACAGTCTTGAAAGTGTTCCAGCTTTCATATGCGTAATAGATTGTCCCAAGTACCATTGTCCTACAGTATTTGGGTAGCCATGATCGTTGACTCCGTCTGCTGAATGTATGCTATATAACCCATCTGCGTAGAAATAAGACTCATTTTGTAGCATTATCATGGCTGTGTTGTCCATCATCAATTCAGGCGGCTCGATGTTGACGTCGACATCATGCAACTCGTACTTAAGCCATGAAACAAACAAAAACAAACAAAAGAATGAGCCATTGAACCATCCAAACAGAAACATGGAATTCCCTCATTAATCTTTACCAATAAAGTTTATGTTCCTTACCTTTTGGATCCTCGAAGAAGTGACAGCAAATCTCTGTTCCCATCCACCATCTTCAATACCAACTACTTCGGGATTAATGGAATGGAGCTCCCGAGCATCATCATGTAACATCCACTCAAAGTAATGAATGGTATGCACGGAAACAGTGACAAGAAGTCCCCCATTCAATGGTTTGAGGTAGTAGACAGCTCCGTTCGTTGGATATTGAAAAATAATATTCAACTCTCCATCTCTAACTAGAAAAACTAAAATTCTCCCCTGAACACAAAGACAAAAGAATCAATGAATGAATTTGGTTCAAAAACAGTTTCAAGATCACAAAAAAGCAATTCAGAGTTTTCTCCTAGAAGTCAACACATATACTCATATAAGTTTACCTGCGTATTCTCCTCGTCTAACACATTTACAGAAGTTCCAACGCAATAGTATGCTTGGTCATCCCCAGCAAACGAGCAACTGACTATAGACAGTCCATGCTCGTGCTCATTTAATTCAAAAGAAAATAACGTGTTCAGCTCCTTATCTAGAAGTTGCAGAGAATGTCGTCCATCCTTCTCCTCAACAAGGACTGCATATGTTTGACTTTCTTCTTGATGACACAAACGCCTACCATAGCTGAACATGGGGATTTTTATGTTCGTCTCCATATCTCCCATAGTGCAAATTACAACCCCATCTTTTGTAACAATTGCTAAACTGTTCAATTCATAAAAGCACAAATCAGATATCTAACTATTTATAACTGAAACAGAAAGACTTACAGACTTCAAAGCAGTAGTTTACCCCTCCGAAATATCAGCACGCTGAAAAGGGCACATGTCTTCAATATCTGTTAAATTCAGCCTGTTGTACTGTAGTTTCTGCTTCATGGTGAAAATCAATGTTGGTACTTTTGATGTTGAAAAACACGCACGTACACTACCATTGGATATGAAGGTACGCAATGTTTTTGGATAACCCTCTAACTCCTTAGTGTTTTTTTCTTGAAGCTGGCCGTCATCTTCATTCAACTTGAAGGTCAGAAGGCTTCCATCTGCTAGAGCACATAACAAGTAGGATACCTGAACCATAGAGGAAAATATTAAGAAATTGTTTGATCGAAAAGAAGAGACTGATTTGATGACTCATTATAAATAATTCAGCACGATCATACCTGTTCAAATGCACAGAGAAGTATACACCTAGGCACATGTGCATGAACATGCTCAACTGTGAGAACTTCCAACTCTGGTAGCTTTAAAACCAGAATAGATTTTTCCCACAGCCCAACTGCAGCTAGCTTACTGTATGTAGTGTTCGAACCAACAGGGCCTATATCAAGACAAGAAACGTCATACCCCTTCTGAACTTTCGCTTGAACCAAAATCCCATTTCTGATATCAAGATAAACCAGTTGCTTGTCTAAAGTTGCTAGAAGAACCTAAGGTGTAAAACAGTGATCAAATGTATCAGATTTCAGTTGCTCATTAGATGAGCAAAAACCAATTGTAGATGCAAATATAAGATAAATGTACCTGCTTGATTGTTGCAGATGCAAATAGTATTTTCGAACTAGCTAACCACTCAGACCGCAATACTCCAGTCTTGGAATCAATTAGTCGAACAGACTTTTCAGTAACCTAATTTGAAAAGGCAACTGTCCATTAATTCAAAGGGGAAAAGGAAGATAATACAAAATACTTTGTCTATATAAAAAAAGGTTTTTAAATCTGAGAGGCAGAAAAAACGTACTTGAATAAACAGTCTGTCTGCAGCATCATGGCAACAAATGGTTACTGAATCGTAGGCGAAACCCACCATCGTGTGACTCATAAATGCACCAGTATCATCAATGGTAAATACAAGAGCAGGAGCAACAGCTATTGGTTGAAGTACGAGGAAGGGGTGATTATCATTTAAACTTGAAGATTTCAGTGACCATATTCTTTGGATATTTGGGATTTCAGCAAAGAACTGCGATTCAACAGAGATCTATTAGCTAGGACACATGATGAGTTAGTTATGCCAGAAGGGAAAAATGAACACGTTTGATATAAATCAAACCTTTACACTGATTCCCACCCCAGTACTAACACCCTCGAGAGAACTATCCTCATGAGTTCCGCAGCACATGACAAGCTTTCGTACCCCTATAGGTTTGTTGCATAGAGAAAAATCAATTACTGGACCTGAATTAGTATATGTCGTCAACACTTGTAGAGCTGGGGTATTCGTATTCAGACTTGGTCCATGTAGCTGATGCATCTTCACAAGCTGCATTTGGGTAAGAAGTATAGAAACCAAAGAAAAAAAAAGACTAAGTGATAATCTTTTTTCTCATATTTCATTATTTGTTGACGAGGAAAACTAAACAAAACCAAGAGATATATGTGACTCAGAATAGTAACTACAATGTTGTATTATTTGCAATCATACAGAAAAATTTGATCTCTACGCATACCTGTGAGTCAGCATAGCGCGAGCCCACAAAGACAATGTCATCGCGGAGATATGTTATAGATGAGGGTACTGAAATTTTACCCAATGGCTTAAATGTGAGTCCTGACAGCCTTCAGAATATAGATAAAAAGAGGTCATGCAAAAAATTCCATTACCTCAAAAATGTTTAAAGAACCAACTATATTAATATGATGAACTTACCGTTCAGCAGTATTTATTTTAATTTCAAGGACTGAAATATGTCCATCATGGCCACCAAGAATATATCTACACATGTGTCTGGTCTCTTCCACTCGTCCATATGTTTGTATATCCAACTGGAGAGCAACAATAGATTCTAAGAGAATCGTTAAAAGCTGAAAGAGATACACATTATAAAGATGTAGGATTAAGGTTGATGAAAACACAAGAATGACTTACAGAACCCATTAACTTTGTTTTGATTTCGTTATCACTGTAATAGACAACACCTTTTTTCCCAATGATAAGATAGCTGAAAAGGTTCGGAATTAGAAGTGTAGGCATGATGGTCTGATCAAGTTGAAACAATCTTATTGCAACAACGTCATCAGTTGTTATCTCAAATATCCCGCTGAAGAAATTACCATCAATTCCCTACAATAGTAGAACATACATTAGTTTCCCAACCAAAGATTTTGGGTGAAAAAAAGATCAGATTGTAAAAGTTACAGATAAGAATATATTTGATGGTAAAAAGCATAAGGTATAATCAGTAAGTAAATAAACTTACCAACAAAACAATAAATAAATCCGAAAATACTACTATCTGGATAAGTGAATCTAAATCAGAAAGATCACTAACGTACCCTATAAAGCAAAGCAAGGCCGGGCCGTAGGTAGCTTTTCAGAAACTTGACATCCACTATGTTTGTACTGGAGAGTCTGAAAAAAGATCACAAAATCAAGTATAATAGTTCTGGTCCAGATGTATTAACTAACGATAAAAGCCAGAAGCTGAGTACAAAAGCCAAGGGTTAATTACGTCTTTGTAAATTGTGAATCACCCTGCCCCGAATCAGCGATATTGACGATTCTCAACCGGTTTTTTCTAGAATACAAGACAATTGTTTTTCCATCAAAAATTGTACCCCCCTATATAAAAGACAGATACAAAACAAAGTTAGAACATAAAAACCATCATATATCATACATTACTAATCAACTTAAGATACCTGGCAGAAGTCATAGTATTCATATGATTCATCCTCTATCTGATACATTTCCAGATTTGGAACATATTGTATTGTATCACTACAAGGTAAATAAAAAAAGTGATTTCAGGTGGATTAAAAGAGAATAATAGATGAAGAAAAAATCAATAAGGAACTCAATTAGAAAAGCATACAGTGAAAAGACATTTGAAGTCTGAACATCCCAGTCAAACATACAAAGTTTTTCTGTTTCTGTGGCAATGAAAAGAACATCCTTTCTTAAATTCTGCACGAAGATTAGAAATCATCAACCATTGTAATCAACCTAAAGACAATGTTTACATAACAAATAAGTATACTCACATTCAAATGGGATAACTCCATGAACACAACCCTTCCATACATGGGAAACTCTCGAAGATGCTGCATTAGATAGAAAAACATGAATGAAAAGAAAAAATATCCAAAGGAGGTAACATACTACAGAATTATACAATGGATTCTAAATTTCATAAAATGAGATAATCAAATGAAAAAGAAAGAAAACATATACAAAGTAGTACCTCTAATCCATTCTCGGTCATGAGATAGATCGACACAAGAGAGACTTTGCTGAAAAGATAAAGACAAATAAGTTATTGGAACTAAAGTGAACTAATGTTGTTTTACTATCTTCCCTAACTTACCAGATTACAAGATTCTGCTCCTTGGGACCGGTGAAATGCCCATAGCATGAGTGGGTCACTGCTGTGGGCTTACGGAGGCTAACGACATAGTTTCCCGAGGATGATTGCACTCGTGGTGCAGCTGAACAAAATATGATATAATTATACATGTTACTCTAAGCCTAGTCAAAAGAACTAAAGATGCAATGTTACCTTTTCTAGAGGCAGAAGTGGGAGTGAGGCTGTAAAAGTCTTCAACTTCACGGGAAGACATTGCTGAGCAACGCCAGAACTAGAAAATAATAAGACATTGGAACAAATGGTGAATCACTATTCAATAAGCACATCGCTTTAATCATCCATGTTAAAAGCGTCAAACAATAGCACAATATCATCATTAATTAATAGCCATCATCATCTCTAAATGAAATCATCATAATCTGAAACCACAGAATCAAACTACAGAAACATCATCTATCTCAGGCAAAAACAAAAACACACAGAATCAAACTACAGAAACATCATCTATCTCAGGCGAAACAAAAACACACAATGAAGAAGATCTCTGTTCAGATTTCAGATTCAAAGGAACAAATGGTGAACACAGAATCAAACTACAGAAACATCATCTATCTCAGGCGAAAACAAAAACACACAATGAAGAAGATCTCAGTTCAGATTTCAGATTCAAAGGAACAAATGGTGAACACAGAATCAAACTACAGAAACATCATCTATCTCAGGCGATAACAAAAACACACACTGAAGAAGATCTCAGTTCAGATTTCAGATTCAAAGGAACAAATGGTGAACACAGAATCAAACTACAGAAACATCATCTATCTCAGGCGATAACAAAAACACACACTGAAGAAGATCTCAGTTCAGATTTCAGATTCAAAGGAACAAATGGTGAACACAGAATCAAACTACAGAAACATCATCTATCTCAGGCAAAAACAAAAACACACACTGAAGAAAATCTCAGTTCAGATTTCAGATTCAAAGGAACAAATGGTGAAAATTCAATAAGCTCGCTGATTCAAACCATATCTGAATAGAACAATAAAACCCCCAAAACCACAGATACATCATCTATCTTAGGTAAAAAAAAACTCACGCTAAACAATTTATAACTCAATGTGGTACATATTTCTATATAGGTGGTGTTACATATTCTTCTTTCTATCACCTATCTGCGTATATCATTGTCTCGTCTGACTAAGACATTGTTCGTGTGGCTTGTTCCATGCCTATCAGAGAACCCATAAAACCAGACCCAACCTCCTAAGAAAATCAGACCCTAAACCCCGAGCATAAACCCTAAGAAAAAACCAACAGCGAATAGAAGGCGAAGAAAAAGAAAAGTAAAATTAGAAGACATACGCCGTGCATTCACCTGCCTGCGGAGAAGATGTGCCGCCGGGGAGAGACACCGGCGACTGAAGCACCTCGAAGAGTGTTCGTCGTCAAGAGAAATCGTTCCTCAAAAATTGTGTGAATAATGAAATTAAACCCAGAAACCCGTTTTCGCTTGTGGGTTGAGCGTGCCTACATTTTTCATGACCCGGATTTTTGAGTTTAAGCCCGGCCCGGTTAAGTCCGGTCCGTTTAATAGAAAAAATTTTAAGCCCGTTTTTGTTTAAGCCCGACCCATTTAAGTCTGTTAAATTTTTTATTATAAAACAATACTACGATATAACCCGCGGTACACCGCGGGTTAATTATTTGATTTTTTTATTTTTATAAATTGATGAATTTATTGTGTATAATATTTTTTGTTGTATACCGCGGGTCACATGCGTTGTATCTAAAATAAAAAATTTTAAGTTGTATTTGTTTTGTTTAGTGTTTAAGATTGTATAATTGTATTTTGATTTGTTATTTATAGGATTTCACCTGTGGTATATTGTCTCGTATTAATATTGACCCAAACCTGTCCAACCATATAATCTAAAATGAAATTAAACATCATTTTGTTATTTTTTTAATAACACTTTTATTTAAATGTCATATAATTCGAGTTAATTTGAAAGTTGCTTTCAAATAGTTTCCATGTATATTTTTAAATTAGTGTGTGTTTTTGGACCAACCCGTAAAAACAATTTATAATTGTATCTTAAAATACTAATTAGGATTTCACCCGTGATATACTGTCCCATTTTAGATAATTGTAAAAATTAAAGAAAGATCCGAATGACTCAATTTCGGGTCTGAATAAAATAACGACATGATTAAATGCTCAATTTATTCTTAAAAATGTTAATATAGATTACACACATATTTTTATTCATCGATTGAGTAATATATGTCCGTTTTAAAAAATTTGAATTGTAACATATGCAGAAAAAAAAAAAAACTAAAATTTACTAACTATTTATATATTTTATAATAATTTAAAATAATATAAATATAAGATCAAATAAAAGTGAAATAAGAATCATATATTTATGTTTAAATTAGGTAGAGAGATTTTAGGAAATTAGTGCAAATTTGTTATATTAGCATTAAATCATCATATTTGATTTCTTTATCTATAAAAATCGTGGAGAATATACCATAAATAAAGCGTTTAAATATAGTAATTAGTTGAGAAAGTATATATATTTTAGATTTTATTAATTATTTTCGTTTTTTAATTTTGCCAAAATTTAAGGAAAGATCCGATTGAAGATTTCCGGGTCAAAATTAAACAAATTTGACCCGATTTGGGTACCCCAAAAACTGCTGCAAAAATGTATAGTAGATATAAATTTTCTTTATGCATTAATACAAGGGAATTTTGCCAAATGTACCACATTTTGGAAAAATCCTAGCAAATGTACCACATTTGAAATGGATTTAGCATTCATACCACATTTGGTGTTTGTGTGTCAACTCTTGGACGATTTTGCCCTTCTTTGTGCGTCAGGTATGTGTCAGGGGAAGGAGCTACAGTAGACGCCAGTTGGGAAACGGGAACAACTTTGTGTCAGAGAAGGACAACTTTGTCTGAAAGACAACTTTGTGTCAGAGAAGCAGTACAAAACATTGCATTAAATGCAGTTTACATTTACCGTGGACAATAATTATGAAATAGAGTGAATGATGTCCCCCAAGAATAAGTCCAGATCTCTTGATTGTCCATCACCAGATGATGTGGTTTTACCAGCCAGAGATATGGATTTACTCGGGGACAACTTCTCTTGATTGTCCATCGCCAGATGATGTGGTTTTACCAGCCAGAGATCTGAATTTACTTGGAGACAACTTGATCTTTATTTTATTCTGCCAAAGAGCCGAAGACGAAGATCTGGATTTACTCGGAGACAACTTTGTTTTACCAGAGGGACGAAAATGGTTACCAATGCGTTAGGAGAGAGACTGTGGACGGCAGAAAATTCGGAGACTATGAAGATCTGGATTTATTCGGGGACAACTTTGTTTTACCAACCAGAGGGACGAAAACGGTTACCAATGCGCCAGGAGAGAGAAAAAGGACGACAGACTGTAGCTCCTTCCCCTGACGCAGCCAGAAGGGTAGTTTCGTCTTTCCAGATGACGAATGTGGTATGGATGCTAAGTGGACTCAGAAAGTGGTACTCGGCCTAAACTTTTTGAAAAAAGTGGTACTGAGGCTAATTTTCCCTTAATACAATCTTTTCATGTTTTGGAATTGGGTATCAAACTATACAATTAAAATAAAGTTCACGAGTTTTTATTTAGTATTTCCATTTATTTACTTAATTAATTAAATTAAATTTTGAGTAAAAAACAAAAACTTTCCACCATTCGAAGATCGAAGATCTCTTCAGTCTTCATTCTTTTAGTAGAGTAAAAGTTCACGATTAATTTAGTGTTTTCATATATTCTTCAACTAATTAAATAAATAAAATTGTGACTCTAATTAACCAGTTAAAGAAAACAAAAACTGTGATTTCTAATAACACCACCACGATGTCTAGTGGTGGCCGAAGCTTCCCACCGTAAAAGGTCCGTTTGTGGTGCGGCAAGGTTACATAAACTTGTCATTTTACAATTTTGTCCCTACTTATTTTCCACACAAAATTATTTTGTCTGAAAAAAACAGAATAGTATTTTTAGCGAGAAAATTAAAAATTATGTTTTTTTACGGAAAAACGGAAAATCACGTTTTTGGCGAGAAAATACGGGTTACAGGTTATGGCGGGAAAACATGGAATCACATTTTTGGCGGGAAAACGAAAATCACATTTTTTTTTACGAAATCAGGTTTTTGACGAGAAAACTCGGGATCACATTTTTGGCGGAAAAAAATAGAAACACGATTTTGGCGGGAAAACGGAAATTCAAGTTTTATTTTACGAAATTACGTTTCTGGCGAGAAAACTCGGGATCACATTTTTGGCTGGAAAACATAGAATCACGTTTTTGGCAAAAAAAAACACGGGATCATGTTTTTGGCAGGACAATGGAGAATCACGTTTTTGACGGAAAAACGCGGGATCACGTTTTTGGCGGGAAAACGCGGGATCATGTTTTTGACCGAAAAACGCGGGATCACGTTTTTGACGGGAAAACACGGAATCACGTTTTTGGCGGAAAATTCGGGATCATGTTTTTGAGCGGAAAACGCGGGATCATGTTTTTGGAGGGAAAACCAAGAATCACGTTTTTGACAAAATCACATTTTTGGCGGAAAAACGCGGGATCATGTTTTTGATGGGAAAACACGGGATCATGTATTTGGCGGGAAAACGCGGGATCACGTTTTTGGCGGGGAAATACGGGATCACGTTTTTGGCGGAAAAACAAAAAATCACGTTTTTGACGAAATCAAGCTTTTTGGTAGAATAACAAAATAATAGAATGTAAGAAAACGTGAAATTACTTTTTTGGCGGGAGAACACGAAACCGCATTTTTAGCATAAAATACATTAAATAAATAATTAAAGCATTAATAACAATAATAATATAACCAAATCAGGTTTAGACCTTATTAATTTTACTGTATAAATACGGGTCACGGGCCTAAATTTTAATAGTGAGCCCGTTTAAGCCCCAGGTATCTAGCCCATAATAACATCACTATTCAAAATCATGGCCGCAGTTTTTTTTTTTTAAAACCATATCACAAAGGTGGGATACGTTTTAGAATGCGGTTTTAAAGTACAAAAGCCGGCGAAAACAAAAAAAAAATCCTCAGAAACTAAAGTCTGATACACGGAAAACGTAAGATAGAATACTAAAGTCAAAAAGTAAAGCTCTCGAAATCACCGGGAAAGTCGGATGAGAACGATAGTCACAGAACTAAGAGCTCAAAATTCGCGTACTCGAGGACCTACAAATGCAAACGGAGTGAAACTGCGAAGAAATAACCCAACTAAAAACAAAAATCCCGGACATAATAAGCAACGATCGCGAATCTAAATTCTAACCACCTAGTCTTCTACCGAACAGTCTAAATCTAGAACTTTGCATCCCAACAAAAGTTTAGCCTTACAAGAATAATCTTCATAAATTCGTCAATAAGAACATTGAAACCACTATAAATTAATACTCGATAAATTAATACCTCAATAAATTAATAAAAAATTTTGGTCCTAAATTGATAATTTGGTCCAAATTTCACCTCTATAAATTAATAAACACGAAAAATTAATAAAATTTAGTAAAATACATTCTTACCAGTATTATTAATTTATAGAAGTTTTATTGTAGTTCTAATTAAGAGAATTGGACATGATCTTATAGCATCCAACATGTATACATCATGATATCCTCATTTTGAGAAGTAGTAGCAGAATAATCCCAAAAAGTAGTCAGCTGAAGATCCCCAAGCTTGTTAATGTCGATCTTCCGTCACCATGTTAACAACTTCTTGAAAAAAGTAAACCAAAAAGTATCCACTAACTTTTCTAACTAGTGGAGGTTTGTTACCTAAAAAGAGAAGACTGAACCTATCATTACACCTTCTCAGAGAAAAACCAGACCTATCTCTGAGAACCTGTATTTTCTTGTAGAGATATCACAAAGGATCTCTAGTCACCGGATAGAACTGAACTCCTTGATTCTTTCTCCCTTGTCTAGTGTTTTGAGCTTGATCATTGATGATTTTCTTTCCTTTCCTATGCTTAGAACTTTTCCCAATCTCATAGGTTGCTTTCCCTTTACCTATTCTAGCTGATGTAGAACTCGAAGACTCATGCCTAAAGGAAGAACATGAGGGGAAATTCTGAAGATGATGATTAGCTATAAATTCATCATCTCTAGACATCGGAGTAAGATGTGTTAATCAAGAAGGTGTTTAATACTAACTAAATCAATAGTTAGATATTTAACACAAGTTACTTATATTGAGAAACCGCCGGGCTGAGACACCCGCCTGGCTAGGCAAAGAGATCCAAACTGGCAGGGACAAGTATAAACCCGCCTGTCTGAGACACCCGCCTGGCTGAGACCCAGTGGTTTCCTCTAGGTCTTTTTAACCTAATCTCCTTTATATATAAAGGTTGTAGCCACC